TTATTAATTTTTCTTATTATTAAAGTATCCTTAATCATTTATTAATTTTTCTTATTATTAAAGTATCCTTAATGCTCAGAAAACAATTTTTTTACGGGATATCAAAGGCATTCAGAAATTTATCAAGGTATTCTAAATTTCTTGAAGCAAATTCTTTACTTAGTACTTCATTGAAAATCTACTCGAGATGATACTGAAGACACCGAGTCCTAGGAACTCATTCAAACTTAGAATGGATTCTGGATCCATACAAGTGAACATTTCGAACGTTTAAAATTGTTTCAGACGCTGGAATACATAAGATGTATTCTTCAACTTTGAAGATAGTCACTCGACGTTTCAGGATGGAAAATTTGATCCACGTGAGTGAAAAATCACTGGAATGTGAGTGACTCTACTGTCGCTCTACTCTTCGAACAAAATTTCGCTCCAAGTGAAATTTAGAGAGTATCAAATTCTGCCGCCACTGACTATACCATCTTAAGCGTGTCTAAATTGCGAAACAAAAGAATGCCATTATTGAGATCGCGGCGGTTACGAGTTCAAGAGAATCATCCTTCCTTTTTTCTGTCCCGACGCTCATCTACGAGCGAGCTGCGAGTATTCTTTGACGCGCGCGGTGTAATTATTTTTCCGGCCCTCATTCTCATGGCAGGCCGGTGCTCCCTTTCTTCCACCTTGCTCGCGCTCTCAGGGAGAAAGAAAATGTAAGGGGATGAGCTCAGGACAGTAGGAGCCACCCTTACGTCGGGGACGAAGCGTCGTACCGCGAATAATTCGAACGGGAGAAAAGAAATTAGCGAAATTAAACGTCAGGCCGTGCCTCGGCTCGACTCGGAAGGATCGAAAGGGCGGCTGGCATGACGAACTCTCACCCTTCCTCCCTCCCTCTTTGTCCTTTGCTCGCGTCCACTTCCATCAGATTCGGACTATTTGCGATTAATTATTCGAGCAGCGGCGGCGGCGACTGCGAGGAGGAGGAGGAGGAAGGTCCAAATAGGTGAGAGCGAGGGCGAGACAAAGAGAGAAAGAGAACCGGAGAAGTATCGGAGGCCGTTTCCGATAACGTGAAATCAACGGGCGTCGAATGTACATCGCACACTCTAACGAGAGTAGAGGGTTAACCACCCCAGGATTCGCATCGCATCGCATTGCATCGCATTTGTTCGTCGAGTTGTCCTCCAATTGAAATGCGAGATATATTTCTGCCGTGAACAAACGACGTAACATCATCAGACACGCCGCGTTAAAATGGGGAAATTTAAGCTTATCATTATTTAGGAATTTGGCGAGCGCGTTAACATTAGCGGCATAAGCGCGCTATGGTTTCAACCGGTCTCTCGACGAGAGGAAACGCGTTTCACGTCGCGAAACGCGTATACAGAGAAGTAGAGAAAGAGAGAAAGAGAGAGAGAGAGAGAGAGAGAGAGAGAGAGAGAGAGAGAGAGAGGACAGAGAGAGAGAGAGAGAGAGTTCTCTTTCTCTCTAGTGTGGGCGTAATTTCTTCGCGCTGCTCGCACTCGAGTAGCGCAAATTCAACAACGCAATTGAAAAACGCCGCAGCCGCTTCCCTTTGTATCAATTTGTCGGGGATATCGGGATCGAACTAATTTCACGCACGAATTATTTAACGACGCGACGAAGTCGGGAAAAAATACACATGTACATATACACACGAGCACACATACAAATCGACAGTCTATGATCGATCCCGATATTCGCCCGCGAGCGGCCGCGGGCGACGATAAAGCGCCGAAAAGTGATTCGCGAGTATTTTTAGTCGAACGCGCACGCACACCCGTGTCGAGTGTAACTCATATATTTGTTAAAACCTCTCTGGTCAAAAGCAGCACCTCGTAAATGGAATTAATCTGTCGATGCGTACCGTGCGTCCATTTAATATCCATCACGCGTTCATCACTGCAGAAGCGATCCAGCTGGTGCTCCTCGCGCCACGTTGCGAGGCCGTGTGCTCTTCTCTCTCTTTCCCTTTTTTCCCGCCGTTTCTGCCTTTTCCCGGCGTTCGTCTCTCGCCATCGAGCACGCGGCCGGGGACTAGCCGGGGGACACGCCGAACTTCTAATTTCGTGGAATCCGCGAAAACGATGACCGATAGGTGATGACAAATTTTGTGCGTAGCATCTTAGTACGCCGCGCGCCCGTCGAAAACTGACCTCGCAGCTGGCCGTCTTAAAAAAGGGGGGGGAGGCAGAAGGGCCCCCGAACGGGAGAGGGATGGCCCATCTCGCACGGGGTCCTCGCGAATGCCGGGTGGGGGGTCAGAAAAGGGGCGAGCATCACGGTGTCCAGGATTTTTCTACTTTTTCGAGGCTCTCACTCTCTGTCTCTCCCCATTCCAGCCCCCTCTCCGTTTCTGTCTCGCTCTCTCCCTCTCTCTTTCTTCCGCTCCGTGCGAGCGTTATATTTCGTCTTCCCTCCGGCAGACGTATCTCAAAGATGGGTTGAACCTGTTTAAGGGCTGTGTTTAAAGATCGAATCAAAGGGTGACGCATGTCGCTAGGTAGGGTCGGCGAATGTATCTTCTGGAAACGCGCTATTGTAATTGTAACATCATCGTTCTCATGACGCCGATTCGTGGCGTGGGGACCGTTGTCGAGGACGAACTCGTTTATTCGTGCTTTCCAGTGCGGGAAAGGAAGCGTCGTACTTTTCTGCCGGATTCTCTCTCTATGGGAAAACGGACGGTGCTGCAGAGGTGCGTACAGCGCTATCGATTACGAGATTTTCAGTGCAGTCATTGTAATATATATATATATATATATATATATATATATATATGTGTGTGTGTGTGTGTGTATGTATTCATACATGCATGCATATATTTATGTATGCATGTATATACGTACATATATTCCCGATATATTCTCCGAAATATCTACAATTGGTTATCTAGAAAAAATATTGCTATCATTTTCGCGGAGTCGGACCGACAAACGGAATAATTTATTGAATCGTGCCGGAACGATTCGCTACACGCTGGAATAAGCGCTTCCTCGTTATCCGGCAATTTTCCCTCGTGAAAGCCCGGAGTGACAAAGAAAGCGCGACAACAGCGGTGAGACGGGGCCGTCGATATTTCCGGGATACGCGGGATTTTTCTCTTTTTTTTTATATTTCCTTTTTTTTATCCAAACTCGTTTCCGCCTCTTTTATTTGACGTACGAATGCGCAATACATATGTTGCCAATTATTTATTGACACACACTCACTTCACCGTGGCCCGATACACTTTATTTGTCCTTTATTATTTATCGCTGCCGAAATTCTGCGCATTGTTTTCTAAAACACTGCAACTAATCACCATCGCCACCCCGTCCCCGTCCTCCACCCTTGGCCACCCAGCCCCCGGTCCCCGCATCCCAAACCTCACACCAACCCTCCTGCTATTTCCCCGTACACCACCAACGCCGCCCCCTCTTCCCTCCTCGCGCTGGCACCTATTCGATCGATCGTTCCGCACGACCCTGCCACGGATTGTCTACGGTCGATCCTCGATACCTCGTCGGTTTTCGAGGTAGCTACGTCGACACTCTCGGCATGTTCGTCGAGGAAGCCGGGGCGGCAGGACAGCAGCAACACCAGCAACAGCACCCGATAGCGAGACAGCGGCGGGATTTCGAAGCGAATTTCGTGGAGACGAGAAAGACGGCGGTGGAAGGCGGGAGGCGCGCGGCAAATTCCCGGCGCAGCTAATTTTTTGGTCGACGTGCGTTCGCGTTCTCTTTCCGTTTTCCATTTTCTTTTCTTTTCTGTCTGTCTCCGCCACCGTCTTTCGGCGTTTTGTTAGTAGTTTTTGTTTTTTATTTTTTGGCTTTTGGTTTCGCGCGTTGGGCAAAGCGTGCGTACCCGGCGTAGTTCTGCAAGCAAGGAACATAGCATGTTTGTTAGAGGTCGAGGCATTAGAGAAAATCCATCGAAGCGAGACGCCGGCGATACGAGGTGGCTTTTTGCGAGTAGTAGATTCGACTCGTAATAATAGAACGATACGGCAAATCGTGCGTATTGGGATACTATTCGAGCGTGAAGCTCGTGTGTGCATACGTTTACATATCTATATATACACACACGCACACACGCACACACGGGATATTCAGCGCTATTTGTCGCGTAGTCTCCAAATTAATCTAATACACGAGATGTATAATTAAATAATTGTAATAACTATTTCACATTATCAACTCGGATAATTAAATTGAATCGTTGGATTGGATTGAATCCTCCGATTCTTATGTCTTGTCAATTAAATTTAATCACATTCCTTATTTAATTAAATCAAATTCTACCAATTGCGCGAATTTCCGCTGACATTGGATCTTGATACACACCAAAAATATTCTACATTGTTGAGAAAAAACAGCTATTCATAATTTATTTTTCTTTTTTTGAGTAATAGTTAATTTCACGGGAAAGATATTTTCTTGGTAATGGTCTTGAAATATACTCAGTACAAATTCGAGAAAAGCTCATTATCATGTGCAAAGGAAAAATTTATTCTTTTACAATTTATTTATTTATTCTTTTTACAAGAATGTTATAAAAGTCAGATTAATCGAATTGTCTCAATATAATATTCCTAATTAAAATGTTAAAGTTACTAGAATTCAGAATTTTGAACAAGTTTAATGCTTACGGTGCAATTATGATAGATTTATATATAGATTACGTATTTATGCGAACTTGTGAGATATCTGACGCAGATGACATTTACTTCAATACATGCGTATGCGATCGCATCGTCTCACTGTTCTTCTTTTTTTTAACCTCTTTCAATTTAACGTTTCGCTTCTCGAGAATCCGGAGGTATCGCGAAAAGACGTTTCTCTCGCCCACGGTGGCTCATTTCCGTTTCGCGAGCGTCCACTTCGGTATCGCTAGAGCAGATAGCAGATATATTGAGAGCGCCATAGAGCCGAGTCATTCGATTTAGCCGCGCGCGACGCAGCACGGCGCGGCGCGGCCTCTCCTATACTCTTACTTACTTCCGTGGAAACAGTAGCCCAAGTTTCACTAGCAAAGTCCACCGTATTCCTCAAGACTCTCTCGTCATCGCCGCGCTCGTCATCCCTATCGTCGCCGTCCTCGTCCTCCTCGCCGTCGTCGTCATCGGCATCCTTCTGCACTCGACGCAACAGCCGACTCCTCCAGTTCATCCGACACCCTACGCCGAGTCGCGCCTCCCGTTTTCGCGCGTCACCCACTTTTCCTCTCGGCGACGACTTCCGCCTCACTCTCGCGATCGATCGATCGATCGATCGATCGCGGTGCCGAGCGCGCGCGCGCGCGCGCGACTTCTCTTTCGCGGACGCGAGAGCGGGTGGATCGCGATCGATGACACGCGGATTAACGCGCGAGCCTTCACCTTCCTCTTCTCCTTCTCCTCTACCTCGCTGGATTTCACGCTTTACCGTTTCGCTTTTCCCACGACGAGAGACCGTCTATCGCGCTTTCGTGGCTTCGCGCTCTCGCACAGGACACCGCGCCGAGGAAGACGACACGGATGCGCGATCTCGGCACCGCCGCGTCGCAGAAAAACCGCGACGTAGTGCTTCCTACGATTGAGCGCAGATTTTTCGCGAATGCCGCGCCCGCGTTGGTGAAAACGCGCGCCAGGGCCGTGCTGATGATGGGCGAGACCGAGTTTCCCGAGGCTACCGACCGATTTTCCTCTTTTCCCGCCGTGCCGTTCAACCTTCCAGCGTCGTGTGAGAATTCTGTCTGGATATTTCTCTGTCTCTTCTTCCTTTTTTCCTCTTTTGTCAAAGGGATCCAAGCGGATCGTTCGGCCAATCGAGTTCAACCGGGACGAGGCGGTGCCGTCGATTCTTTATTCACACATCGCTCTCGTCTTGGGAGAATTGGATAAGCGCGTGGTCGCAATTGCGGCGTGTTGGCGACTCGCAACGCCAGCCGGATGCGGATTATCGGAGGACTCGATGCACGCGAGTCGTCGTCGTCGTCGCAATCTCGCTCGTTCCCGCTCCCGTTGCGACAGTCGTTGAGAACTGCGCGTTGAATATCCTTCAGTTGTTTCAAAGCTTTCAGTTGTTCCTTCAGCTGCTTCAAAGTACTCGACTCGCGCGACCCGGCGATCGATAATCGATGACACAACTCTCGGTGCCTCCCGCGAATATCATGCGGAGCGCCTTCGCGGGAGACCGAATTTCCACGAAGGTACCGGTGGCCGGAAATCCGCCGAGACCGGGAACCCGATTTTCTCTCACTATCCGCGAACCGTGTCCCACCAGTCGCGAGGAGAGGAGGGACCCGAGAGACCGGGTGTTCCGAACGACTCCGGCGACTCGCACGTGCGTATATTGCGTGCGTGCGAGCGTGGACGCGCGGCGGACGACCGGTATGATAATTCGCGCACACTCACACACTAGCCACTAAGAGACGGACTTCCGAAGATGAGAGAGAATATCCGAGCGGACGCTGCGACGTCAGAGGGTCAGAGTGGGTCGGTGGTCCCTTCGTTTTCGCCCGGTGGGCCCGTTCCTTTGCGCTCTTCCGTCGTCGGTGAGAGAGAGGGAGACCGATATTCCCCGCGGTTTTTCCGACTGGGCCGCGCGCGAGAGAGAAGAAGGCTCCTCCTGGTGCGCGGGAGCGCGTCACTGAAATCGTCTATATATCTCTCGATCTTTATCACCGAGCGTGAGCTCTCCGCCTCCTCCTCTCCTCCTCCTCCACCCTCTCTCTTTTTCTTTCCCTCTCTCTCTCTCTCTTTCCCCTCGCTCTCTTTTTTTCTATCCTTTCCCGTCTTATCTCCCCGAACTCTCTCTCTATCTATCTCTGCCTCTCTCTCTCTCTCTCTCTCTCTCTCTCTCTCTCTCCAGGTTGTCTCTCCCTTTCGACGATCGGTATCGCACGCGAGCGGGTATCGTTCGACGGCACAGCTCGCGAGCTCTCTCGGTGACGCGCGCGCGACCGTACCGGGGCCTCGACTTCGATATTTCTGCGATTTATTGCGGCGCGACTTAGAAATGCATCTAATGCGGTGCACGCCGCATAGAATGCATGCATGCACCTTGGCGGGGAGGGCGAGAGCCGCGGAGAGCCGAGAAGCGGAGCCGGAGCCGGAGTCGGGCCGAGTCGAGTCGAGTCGAGTCGCGACGCGCGGTCGCGCCAGCGCATGCGCCGCTGCCGCCGACGCCGACGAGAGCGTGTGTACTTCTACTTGCGCGATCTCTAGCCAAGCTAACGCGAGCTAGCGAAGAACGCGAGAACGCGGGCGAGCAGATCGGCCAGGAGTACCTACGCTACGTCATTCACTGGCGTGGAGACAGGGCACCCACCGTGTGTGCCTCCGGCGTGGACCAGCCGCGGTTAGTCCGTGGAGCAGAGCGGTGGCGGTGTGCGCTACGGGCTTCCCGCGTCTTCACGGGAACAAAGGATCACGGACGAAAGTCCCGCGGAATCTTCACTATATTTTTACAGGCTACCGCAACTCGCAACGGTAGCAACGATGACGCAGCGATCATTGAAATCCGCATCCACCCACATGAGTAGCGCGACGCGCGCAAAACTTGCGAGACGCTATGGACAAAAGGAGTTGCGTAATCTTAATCAAAATGCGCGCCGCGTCTCCATGTTGTAGAGCGACAGGGTAACGCGATTCGGCCAACTTTCAGGTGTCACTGTTTCCGAATATCTCTTTGTCACAAAGACTATGACAAATTCCCGCGATATTGCAAATAGGAAAGGGTGTGCGGACGATGAATGGGAATGAAAAGTATACGAAAATAACGTGGCAGAGAGGGAGAGGGGAGAGGGGAGAGAGAGAGAGAGAGGGAGAGTAACAGCAGCAGCGGTACATAAACCGGAAGATTCCCCGCCACGAGGAGGAGGTCCGCTAGCGCGAACGCAATTTTGGACGCGATTAGTGTACGCCGAAACACGCGAAACTCCCTGCGGACCACTCGCAGGCCACCCACGTCAGTAATTCCAAACGATCCGCTAGCGCACGGCGCGCGATCTGGAAAAGCGCTAAAATATCTCGATGCACTCGCGAGAGAGTTACCGCCGTTGAATTCTCTCTCGCTCGACGCTCTCTACACGCGCGCGCGCGCGTCCGATGCGCTTCGCGTATATACTTGCGAGTATGTTTATGTGCGTGCATGTGTGTGTGTGTGTGTGTGTGTGTGTGTGTGTGTGTGTGTGTACGTACGTACATGCACCCGGTGTGTTTCCATGTCGGTGCCATAGCCTATCCTGTAGCACTATAGCGCGGTATGGAGAGGGCTGCTCTCCGCGTTTCTCTTTCCGCCGTCTTTCCTCGGTCCTCGTCGCGGTGGGTGGAGGAGGAGAAGCAGGAGGAGAGGAAGCGGAGAAAGAGGAGGAGGATGAGGAGGGCAAGCGGGTGTAAGGCCCCCCGCTATGTACGACACTGTGCGATTTTTTGACGACCGATGAAAGTTACTCGCGAGATATTCTATTTTAAACTTTCGGCCGACAGCGGCGGCCGCCGCCACCGCCGCCGCGGTTGCCGTTGTGCGCCTCCGCACCCGGCCTGTCTCTCTCTTTCTCTCCTTTCTCTCTGTCTTCCTCTGCCTCGTTCGCACTCTCTTTCTCTCCACCGTCCTCTTCTCGTCCTTCTGCCGCGCGCGAGAGACTTCCTACATCGCGATAATTCCTGAAAAGGAGGAAGCCATTTTGCGCGAAGCGGAGCGGCAGCGCGCCGCGAATCTCAGTTTTGATTCTTGTTGTGTCGGCGAGAACGACAACGAAGGGAGAAGAGAGGAGACAAACGAGGAGAGACAGAGAGAGGGAGATTTTTCGCCACTGGCAAAGGAAAGCGCGTCACGGCGGTAGGTAATGGTGAAACGCTCGTACCCGATGTTTTTTCCGTTCGGCTGAATGATTTATCAGATCAGGATCGATCGGGTCGGGGACCGTAACCGCGCGCCACGCGGTTGCAAACCGACGAAACGACAGGCTCCATTATTACCACCCTCTCCTCACACCCCCCTCGTCACCCTCTTTACATTGTCATCGTTGGCGAGCGTTTGATCGCGTTATAAAAAATCCAATACTTTTGTTCGCCGCAAAATACAATCCGCGAGGTCCGATAACATTTTTGATAACCGGTTTTAATTGCGCTTTGTTGCTTGACGCCGGTATTGTTCTGCTCGCAGTATTGCCCTATGTTAATCAACAGAAAAAGCATCGCGCGCGCGCGAAAATGTTTACACGCATTTCGGAGAATGACCAGCGCAACTCGGCTGCACAGTGAGGTGCCGCGCTCCCTTCTTCCCTCCTGCTGCACCTCCTCCTCTTCCTCCTCCTCCTCCTCCTGCGCTGCCGCCGCCGCCACCACCTCATCCTCCACCTCCGCGATCGATCGCGCGCGCGTTGCACTCGCGCTGGCGATCTCGAGAGTGCAGGGGAAACGAAACTGTCTCACTGCATCGGTGCGCAATTCGCCGTTAATCGATGCGACACTCCGCGAATTAAAACGCGCTCGCGCGCGTCGTCGAGTCTCAAGCTGCACAGATAAGCCACGTGACTCTTCTTTTTCTCGACATACCATATCGAGGTGAATCACGCGTCCACGTAACACCCTATCTGGAAATAGCGCGACGTGTCGCTCATTACGCCATTCGTGCGCGCGGCAATGAGAGGAAACAGCGTGCGAGAATGAAGTCAAGCGGAATACAGACAGTGAGACACGCGCGGCATCCGTGCGCTTGTCAGCGCTCTTCTCGAATTCTTCCGCGGGGGACAGAAAGCGGACAAACTTCTCTCAATATCATTATGCCCCGTCACGCGGCCGCAATGCGTTCCGTCCGAACAGCGTGGGAAATAATTACGGCAATGAATTAATTAAAAAGTAGCGTACACGCGGAACGAATTTATCACGTTCGGATCGGCCGCGACATCGGCGAAAAAAACATCGATCGATACCGTCCATCGGTGAAAGGAGCGCGCATTCGATATTCGCATATCCGATGCGAATCCCCGACGGGCATCGCTGCCGGAGGCCCGCCAAAAAATAATTTTCAGCCACCGTTTGGTGTGCGCGCGCGGGATAGGCGCGCACACGCGCACGCCCGCGCGCGCGGATGATCCGTCGCGTCGGACGCTGGTCCCGCGGTGCCTTTTTCTTTTTTTCCGCCCCCTCTACCGTTGGCCGCCCCCTGCCACCCTCGCCGACCCCCACCGTAGCTGCCACTGCCGTTGCCCACCGCCGCCGCCACCACCGCCCGAGTACACCCCGCGGGATGCACGGCGCGCCGTAGCGCGCCGGTCGCTTTTGTTTTCCTCTATTTTCCGGTTTTTCCGGGTGGGCCGCGCCGGACACACGGCGGCGGCGGCGGCCGGTGGTGTGTGGCGCGCAACAAGTAGCAGATTATAAAAATCACTCGACGGCCCGGGGGCGTGCTGAAGAAAAAAAAGGAGGTACGGTGGAAAAAAAAGCCAGCGGCGGTGGCACGCCGATGGAGAAAGCGGGATGGCGAGCGCTCGGGAGAGAGAAACAGTGAGATCGCGCGGGAGTTGGAGCGCGCAGGAGCGAGAAGGGAAGAGCTCTCGCGGGTGAGAACGAGAGGGATGACGAAGGACCGGTGCGGAACGCGCGCGGGCCGGGGGCGAGAGGGGAACGCACGGCGAGTGAAAGAGGTCCGGTCCGGAAGATAGAGCGAGAGGGAAAGCGCGCGAGAGAGATGCGGGCGTAGGTACACATTTACCTATACATATGTATGTTTCCACCCCCCTCCTCCTCCTCCTCTTCCTCCTCTGCCTCCACAACCTCCACCTCTTCCATCGCCTCCTCGTCCTCTGCCTCTTCCACCTTCCTCCGTCCGCTCCGCGTCCCTCACCCACCCTCGCCTTCTCTGGCTCACTCTACACCTCGCCAAGCTGTAGCTGCATCGCGGTCTCTCCCACGCTCTCCCTTCGCCACCCTCCTCTCGTTGTGGCCCTCTTGCTCGCTCGTCCGCTTGTTCTCTCTCCTTCTCTCTCCCTCCTTCCTCCACCTATACTTCGGCTTTCGGTCTCCCGCGCTCTTTCCGCCCGCGTATAAGCCGTGCGTGGCGATTTACATTAAACGCGGTCCGTTTCCCTCCGCCGTTCCGCGGGAATACGCGCGAGTGTTGGTGGTTTGGGGGAGGCAGCCGCGGCGACGGCGGCAGAGTGAGAAGAGGGTTCTCTCTTTCTCGCGCGCGCGCGCGCGACCGACCGGCCCTCGTTGCATCGAGGGGAAAATCGTCCGAAAATACGCGGACGCGAAGCACACCCGAGGACCCGATACTCTCTTTCTCTGTTCCCTCATCTCCGTCCATCGCTCTCACGTGGAGCGCGTGGTATGGAGCCCTCGCGGAAAAAGAACCCTCCCGTCGGGAGGGCGCGTGCCTCCCGATCACGTTGCAGAGTCGATTTCCGGACCTCGGAGGAGAGATCACGTAGATACGCTCGCGGCGAGGGCAACCTCGTCGTAGGAAGATGCGCGGCGATTTCTCGCGGGAGGAACCGATTTGGTCGTCGAAACGATCGGCGAAATGCGAGCGATGATAGCCTTCGATCCCGTCATTATCGCCGGATGAACTCTCCGTGAGGCGACGCACGCTCGAGGCTTTAGCGAATTATGGCCGAGTGCGCGCTCATGCACGACCGTTCAATTACGCACGCTTTTAATTGTTTAAATATTTCCCTCGCAGGCGAGTTTGCGAGTATGCGTCTCGTATTTTATTATAGTATGATCCTTTACGAGCGCACTGAACGCGGCCGAGCGAGCGAGAAAATGCATCGCCTCTGGCGAAGTCGCACGCCCGCCGTCGAGAGCCGTCGAACCGACCGACAGGCTGCGCGCCAGCTCTCCGGAATCGACCGGAGATTTTAGATCGTACCTGCCTTTCCGCGAAAAATTCCCAGCTACCCAGATAGACAGGTGTGTGTAAATTTGGCAGCAACTTCATCAGTCGATTCATGAAGGTTGTATCCCTTACAATTTGCATACGTTCATGTGGCGCGTTCATATTTAACACATACAGCTAGAGAAGAGCACGATGACGGCGACTACATAGGCGATAACACTGCACGAGTTTTATGTGTAGAATTGTAGTACATATAGTTTAATAAAAGCAAATTTTAGGCAACTGGACCTTTAGTCGCAATAACTACGAAATAGTTAATTAAACTGCATATAAAGTACCTACATATAAAATATAGTTACTATCATTAGCATACTTCTTTTTCTATGTACAGAATGGCGAAATAGAAATATGAAAAAAATGATTTTCATTTGCTCATAACAATATGTCGTATGTAAAATATAATATGAAAATCTGAGCGCGTAATTTTTAATAAATTAATCGCAACATCAATGTAA